ACGGTCAATAATGGATACAAATCAAGGGGAAAACAAATGTTCACACCACCAAAAAAACAAGTGTTTGATTCGCATTTTAATTCTTTTTTTTTTTTTGGTTAACAATTTCTATTCCATTTAAAAGTTAAACGTAGGGTTTGCAAATCCCAGTACATCATCCTCAAAAACGTTGAAGTTTTCAGCAATAGGTACAAATTGTATAAGTGCCTTACTCTCTGAGGTATTGAAGTATGTTGGAGCTGTGCTTGAGCCTCTTGCCAAGCTCTGGCATCCTTAACTGTTAACCCTGTCGGTGGAAGGTTTGACTTCCCTTTTGCGAATTGGTGAAAAGGTCTTAGAGAGGTACTCAATCAGACTTTGTGTCCAGTTAATCGCTGTAGATTGCCATATCAATGTTGCAAAATCGCAAGTAATAAGCTGATGATTAATTGTTTCAATATGGCCGCATCTTTTACAATGAATTGCTTCTGTCATTCCTCGGGAGGTAAGTTGCGCTCCCATACATAGATAATGCACCCGACAATGCTTTCCAGATAAAGGTATTAATTCAAGTTGTTGATTTTACTCTCTCTCTCTCTTTTTTTTTTTGTTTTTCCCCTCTAATAATAGCTAAACCAGATTTTATTATACCTCAGTTTTACTTTGAGTTCATATTTCAATCAAATATATCTTTTAAAGTATTATTATATTGAATATATACTCTTTTCATTTGGTTATCATAGAATTTAAAATAGATTTTGGTACATGCATGTAGTTAAATAAAACTTGTATTAGTATCTAAATATGGTAGTATGTGTGAATTGTAGACGATGTGGTTTTGTAATCATCAGCGTGTTTAGGTTTTTTTTTCCCTTTTTTCATTTCGAAGCAAGATATAAGATATTATAATAGTGATTACCTTTGTAGTATTTTGTAGGGAGCTAAACCAATTGGGTTGGTTGGGCTTGTCTACATATTGTTTGCAGAGGTTTTATGTTACAATGATCGGTTTAACGTAAACGTTAATATTTGTAGAAATAGCCTAGAGAAATTGAGTATATAGAACTCTTCAATTCAAAAAAAAAAAATGGAATTGCATATAACTCATCAAATGCATGTAATCGTGAAATGAATGATAGAAAGAAGATTAAAAATTAAAAATTAATATAATTGGTTTGGTAGAGGCAATGGGGCGAGGGGGCCGAACGTGTAAAAATGTAATTATGTTCTATATAATGGCAAACCCTCACGATCCATAATTTTATGTCATAACTTATATATAGTTAAGTAGTATTATTACAAACGTATAGTTGTTCGTCAAAGACTCAAAGTAAATCCCGTATGATTCGTCTTCTTTAACGTTCCTTCTTTTTAATTATGAGCAAAAATAGTGGAAGTGAGTTTTAACTTTTTTTGGTGGTTTCTTTAATTATTATTAAACTTTCTTTTTTGGTGTGTGGGTTGTTTTGGAACATTTGCGATGACGGATGAAAAATCGAACTACATCCCCTTATAAAATTGCTATTTATTCAACTACTTCACTTGCTTCTTTTTTTTGTGTGGAGCAAACTACTTCACTAGCTAGGTAACAAACACATTACATACAAATTTAGCCCACTCGTTTTGCATATTTAATTATACATGATATTTTAATAAGTTAATTAGGGTGAAGAATAGATGAACATCCACCCAAATCCCATGATCGTAGG